CGTTCAGAATATAAAAGTTGCGTCTATTGTGTAGGATTTGAAATATTTTACCAAACTTACAATTTTGTTCTCAGAAATATTTTGGTCCTTTTGTGCACTTTCTTCATTCTTAGAGCTTTTAGCTACTGTTCTGCTGGTTTTAGCTACTCTTCTGCTGGTTTTATCTACTGTTCTGCTGACTGTGGTTTTTAGCTTCTCTGATAGTTTTAGCTGTTATCTACTGTTTGGTTAGTATTAGTTTTTGGTTGTTGGATTTAGCTTTTAACTACTATTCTTAAATCTTAACTTACAGCTGCTTTAGAAGTGGCTTTCAGCTACTCTTCTGCTAAATTTTATCTTTCAGCTGTTTTGATAGTTTTAGATTTTAGATAAGTATGGCTGGTTTTGCCATGTAGTTTCTGCTCTGCTAGTTTTTGATTTAAGCTACTGAGTAAATTTTACTTTCAGCTGTTTTGATAGTTTTATCTTCTGTTTTGTTGTTTTTAGGTTTTACTTACGTTTCTACTCAATTTCATCTTTTCGATATTTTGCTAATGTTAGCTTTTAGCGACTGTTCACTTGGTTTTGGAATGAAGCTTCTGTTCTGCTAGTTGTAGCTNGTGTTTATCTGGGAGGGTTGCTGTTGGATAGATCACATGTTGTGATTCATTGACAGTCATACCTTCTGCTGTTCAACATAATGATGACTGGTAGATAATTAGTTATTAGTGGGACTGCATTTTAATTTTAGAAAGCACAAATCTGCTTATGAATTATGAAAATTTGTAAGACCGCTAAAGCACAAATGAAATATTTAGGTCCACAATTAGTGGATTTGCGCTTCAGCGGGCTGGTGCCCACCACTGGTTAAAAGTTTGGCTTCAGAGTGAGCTGAAAGGGAAGTAGAACACCACCCACCTTCACGCACTTCACRTTGATTCCTGGACACACAAATTTCTTCACCAGCAGCACAGCTTTACAGTCGCCACAAGTGATGGGACAGCCGACTTCCACGTCGTCTCCCTCCGTTTGTTCTGTTGGGACCAGAGCAACACTGATGAAGACATGAAACCTGCAGAGCCTGCTCATCACTTCCAGCCTCCGAGTGCCTCTCACCTGGATGGCCTTCCACTGCCATGACAGCTGCATCTGTTTCAGCAGACTCATCTCTGGGAAGAAAAGAGTCTTTTCACAGGTCTTATCAATAAAACAGCTTCCTACAGAGCCGCCCCCTCGAGGACCAAAAACTGTACCCACAAATTTGTAATCTGTTCCCTCTGGTGTTGTGTTTAGCTCTGTTTCCTCCTTCAAACTGAAACAAACCAACGCTTGCTTCATAGGTGCAACATGCTCAGTAGAACCTGAAGGGGACTTGCTACATACCCAGTGGTGATTGGCTGCAGCTGGAGGATGACCTGAGTCTTGTTTGGGTCACTGGACTCGTCTTCAGTCTTCACCATGACCACTTCCCCCACAGACACGGCCACCTCGTCGGTGTTTGCCATCACACTCACAAAGAGGCACTAGAGGGTGGAACCACGTTCAGCATCTGTCACTGAGGTCAAACACCTGAAAAGATGCAAACATGTTGCAAACATGTAAACGTGTCTGTTTTAACAGGTTCTGTCACTGTTAACAAAACCTTTAAAATTCATTCCTGTTGTTGATGTTCTAATTTAAAGTGGACCTCGATCAGATTCACAGACTCTTCTGTGTTTACAGAAGAAATATGAAGGATTCATGTTAGCATGTTAGCATGTGTGGATCCATTCTGAAGCTGTTCAAACAGACATGACTAAATTATTATCTGACATATTTGGTCAGGTGCTTCCATCTGATCTAGTTGCTTCCTGCCCACTCAGGGGCAAAAACAAACTAGTGTGGATCCATCGTGCTGGTCTGGATCTGATCCACCATGTTGGCCTGGATCCATCATGTTAGTCTGGATCAATCATGTTAGTCTGGATCCATCATGTTAGTCAGAATCCATCATGTTAGTCTGGATCCATCATGTTAGTCTGGATCCATCATGTTAGTCTGGATCCATCATGTTAGTCTGGATCCACAACGTTAGCCTGGATCCACCACATTAGTCTGGATCCATCATGTCAGTCTGGATCCATCATGTTAGTCTGGATCCATCATGTTTGTCTGGATCCATCATGTTCGTCTGGATCCACCACGTTGGCGTGGATCCACCATGTTGGCCTGGATCCATCATGTTAGTCTGGATCCATCATGTTAGTCTGGATCCATCACGTTGGCCTGGATCCATCATGTTAGTCTGGATCCATCATGTTAGTCTGGAACCATAATGTTAGTCTGGATCNGACCCCTACAAGGTCTAGAAAGGAACCTGATTTAGGACCACATGTGAAAAATATTTAAAAATCTGATATATGATGTAGCTGAAAGGGGTGGGTGTCATCGCAGTGTTTTAAATAATGCTAGGCCTTCTTTTCAAACACAACACCTACTGTATATTTAAAAAGTTAAAAACAGTGTTTTGATGTAAATTATGTGTCAGAACAGCTTTATTCAGTGAGGATGCTTTCAGTCAGCTACATTTATCTTATTTCTGTTCAAAGTTTCTTCTGGACGTTTTTTGGACTTAAACTATGTCAGTATACTTTCAGCTATCTCAGCCATTCGAGTAACAAAAGTAAAGAAAAAAGTAAAGAAAGCATTCGACACAATTGATCACAGTATTCTTCTTGAAAAGTTAAATATGGTATTAGAGGGTTGGCACTACAATGAGTATCCAGTTATTTGAAAGATAGGAAACAGTTTGTACAGATAAATGGTGTAAGATCTAAACTTGTATCACATGTGGAGTCCCTCAGGGCTCTGTACTGGGACCCAAGTTATTCATTTTATATGTAAATGACTTAGTAAATGTGTCAGGACTTTTCAAATGTGTTTTGTTTGCTGACGATACCTTTTTTTGTTTAGGTAAAGATGTAGAAAAAATGTTTGAGATGGTACAGAAAGAATTTGAGAAAATTCAAAATTGGTTTCAACGGCTGTGTCCAAAACGGCAGGACGGGTCCTCCGAAGGTCGAATTCGTCAGCCGCATACGTCACAGCGCCACGACGAAGGACGTCCAAAACCGAAGACTCCTCCGATGTGGCCGACAAATACGTCCTTCCTTTGGCCCAAATCGAAGGACAGGTCCGATGGATCCTTCCCGGCCCAGCATATCCCATAATGCATTGTGGCCCAACAGGAGATTTGTTTAAGCTAGTAATGGCAGATGAAGCGAGAGAAAAGAATACATT